TTGAGGCTCCTTTGTCCAAAGATACTCCAGAACAAATTTGGTCAAAATCCTTCTATTGATTGAGAAGAAGATTTTTAAAGATTTACCTATTTTCCCCCTATTTGGCATCGCCCCTCTGCTCCCAAGGGGACCATACCCTCCGTTTATACAAAACTGAGAACCCTTTGGCCAACGATGCTTCAGACCAAATTTGGTCAAAATTCCTTCATCGGTATACAAGGAAAAGGATCTTTGATGTTTTCCTCTATTTCCCCTATTGGGCCCCACCCCTCCGCCCCCAGAGGGGCCACACCCTCCGTTTATAAAAACCTGAGTCTCCTTTGTCCAAAGATGATCTAGGACAAATTGGGTCAACATCCTTCTATTGGTTGAGAAGAAGATTTTTAAAGATTTACCTATTTTCCCTCTATTTGGCCCTGCCCCTCTGCCCCCAGGGGGACCATACCCTCTGTTTATACAAAACTGAAAACCCTTTGGCTAATGATGCTTTAGACCAAATTTGGTTAAAATCCCTTCATCGGTACAAAAGGAGAACGATTTTTGATGTTTTCCTCTATTTCCCCTAATGGGCCCCACCAATCTGCCCCTGGAAGGGGGCCCACACACCTCAGTTTATACAAAATTGATTCTTTTGTCCCTAATCATGCTTCAGACTGCTTTTGCTTTAAATCCCTTCACTTGTATAGCAAGAGAAAAAAAATCTATTTCCCCTTTTGGGCCCCACCCCTCCACCCCCAGAGGGGCCACACCCTCCGTTTATACAAAACTGAGAACCCTTTCGCCAATGATCCTCCAGACCAAATTTGGTCTAAATCCTCTGAGCCGTTCAGGACAAGTAGCGTTTTAAAGGAAAAAGTTGACGGACGCCTGACAATGGACGCCGGACGCCGGACACCGGACACCGGACGACGGATGACGGATGCCAGGTGAGCTAAAAATTAAGAAAGATCTCTCCAGTATTTCCTGAGTAATAGACATAACAAACCTTCACTGTCAAAATCCAAGATGGCTGCCTGTCGGCCATGTTGTTTATCCTATCAGTCTTAAAAGTTGCCCTGCACAACAAGGGACCAAGGGGATCCCTCTTGTACTACCCAAGAAATAGCCACAACAAACCTTCAGTATCAAATTCCAAGATGGCTGCCTGTCAGCTATATTCCGATCAGTCTCAAAAATTGCCCTGCACAACTAGGGATCAAGGGGGACCTACATATAAAATTTGAGAAAGATCCCTCAGGTACTTTCCGTGAAATAGCCATAAAAAGCCTTCACTATCAAAATCCAAGATGGCTGCCAGTCCCTAAAGTTGCCCTGTACAACTAGGGACCAAGGGGAACCTACATATAAAATTTGAGAAAGATCTCTTGCACTCCCAGAGAAATAGCCATAACAAACCTTCACTATCAAAATCCAAGATGGCTGCCTGTCGGCCATGTTGTTTATCTGATTAGTCTCAAAATTTGCCCTGCACAACTAGGGACTAAGGGGAACCTACATATTAAATTTAAGAAAGATCTCACTGGTACTTCTTGAGAAATAGTGATAGCAAGAATTGTTTAAGGACGAAAAGTGGCCAAGAGAGCCATATCGCTCACTTGGATATTTAAACAATCGTAGCAATATACCATCCATGGAATAGGACATAAACATCAACATTGATGAAGCCCCCGTAAAATAAAGTAGAAGAAGAAGAAGAAGAATCCCCTGTGCAAACCCTAGTAGCATCTGTACATGCTCATGCAGCTATTGTGTAATAGGACGAGGAATACCGGTAGTGATAAAGATAGTGCCATCACTGGGGCTTTAACCCATGACCCTTGGCTCTCCAGCCCGATGCTCTACTGCTGAGCTAAAGGGAATGCTCTACAGCTGACACTTGTAAGGCAACCTAATTAATCTACATCTTTTACAATTGTACAGTTCCATTCAAATTTGGTGAATTTCAAATAAGTTGTTATGGAGAAGGTTGGTAAGTTATGTATCACAACCAGTAATTGTACGTTTCGATGACTAGTACTAAACTTAACCTCTCATCTTCATCAGAAAAATCAACAGTGAAGCATATGTATAAGAAAGTATGAAATATGTACGAGTTGGCAATATAAAATTGATGTTAATTGGGTAATGCTATAAGCTTACAAACTTTTGTGTGCGTCTGCTTCACTGGTCATCGTAACACATAAACACATACCGTACTAGTACTTACCAACCTGGAGAAAATGTTTAGAAATATCCAAACAAAATACAGACAAGATATTGTCCAAGATACGAGACAATTAGAGAGCCTAGAAAAGAAATAAGTGAGACACAGAAATCAACTTGTGTGTATGCTGTGATGTAGAAACTTGCATATAAAACCTTTACATCTGAGTATTAGGTGCCAAGTAAAAATATGATGATGCTAGAAATACCATCAGCAACGTTCCCAGAGAAAGACTTTGTAAGGGAGAGAATTTGTGTCATAAACAATGCAACTGACACAAAGAAGTGTGGTTTAATAGTACTGAACGAGTGCTGTTTAATAGTACTGACCGAGTGTGGTTTAATAGTATTGACCTAGTGCTGTTTAATAATACTGACCGAGTGTGGTTTAAAAGTACTGACCGAGTGTGGTCTAATAGTATTGACCGAGTGAGTTTTAATGGTATTGACCGAGTGTGGTTAAATAGTATTGACCGAGTGTTGTTAAATAGCACTGACCGAGTGTGGGTTAATAGTACTGACTTAGTGTGGTTTAATAGTACTCACCGAGTGTGGTTTAATAGTACTCACCGAGTGTGGTTTAATAGTATTGATCGAGTGGGGTTTAATAGTAATGACCGAGTGTGGTTTAATGGTATTGACCGAGTGTTGTTAAATAGTACTGACGGAGTGTGGTTTAATAGTATTGATCGAGTGGGGTTTAATAGTAATGACCGAGTGTGGTTTAATGGTACTGCCAGTGTGTTGTTTAATAGTACTGACTGAGTGTGGTTTAATAGTATTGACGGAGTGCTGTTTAATAGTATTGACCGAGGGTTGTTTAATAGTATTGACCGAGGGCTGTTTAATAGTACTGACCAAGTGTGGTTAAATAGTATTGACCGAGTGTTGTTTAATATGATTGACCGAGTGCTGTGTAATAGTACTGACCGAGTGCTGTTTAATATTATTGACCGAGTGTTGTTTAATATGATTGACCGAGTGCTGTGTAATAGTACTGACCGAGTGCTGTTTAATAATACTGACCGAGTGTGGTTTTATAGTACTGATCGAGTGTTGTTTAATAGTATTAACCGAGTGCTGTTTAATAGTATTGACAGAGTGTGGTTTAATAGTACAGACCGCGTGCGGTTTAATAGTATTGACTGAGTGCTGTTTAATAGTACTGGCCGAGTGTGGTTTAAAAGTACTGACCGAGTGTGGTATAATAGTATTGACCGAGTGTTGTTAAATAGCACTGACCGAGTGTGGGTTAATAGTACTGACTTAGTGTGGTTTAATAGTACTCACCGAGTGTGGTTTAATAGTCCTGACCGAGTGTGATTTAATAGTACTGACCGAGTGTTGTTAAATAGCACTGACCGAGTGTGGTTTAAAAGTACTGACCGAGTGTGGTCTAATAGTATTGACCGAGTGTTGTTTAATAGAACTGACGGAGTGTGGTTTAATAGTATTGATCGAGTGTTGTTTAATAGTACTGACCGAGTTTGATTTAATAGTACTGACCGAGTTTGATTTAATAGTACTGACCGAGTTTGATTTAATAGTACTGACCGAGTTTGATTTAATAGTACTGACCGAGTTTGATTTAATAGTACTGACCGAGTGCGGTTTAATGGTACTGACCGTGAGTGTTGTTTAATAGTACTGACCGAGTGTGGTTTAATAGTACTGACTGAGTGTGGTTAAATAGTACTGACCGAGTGTGGTTTAATGGTACTGACCGTGTGTTGTTTAATAGTACTGACTTAGTGTGGTTTAATAGTACTGACCGAGTGTGGTTTAATAGTATTGACCGAGTGCTGTTTAATAGTATTGACCGAGTGTTGTTTAATAGCACTGACCGAGTGTGGTTTAATAGTACTGACTTAGTGTGATTTAATACGACTGACCGAGTGCTGTTTAATAGTATTGACCGAGTGTGGTTTAATAGTACTGACCGAGTGTGGTTTAATAGTACTGACTGAGTCTGATTTAATAGTATTGACCGAGTATGATTTAATACGACTGACCTAGTGTGATTTAACAGTACTGACCGAGTGTGGTTTAATAGTACTGACCGAGTATGATTTAATAGTACTGACCAAGAGATTATCTAGTGGCACTGTGGGGGATTTGAACAAATGAAAGGGCTGTGTATGAGTTAGTGTTAGGATGACATGATGCCATGTTTTGTGCCAGTGGGTGTATGAGTGGGAGTTGGGATGACATGATGCCATGTTTTGTGCCATTGGGTGTATGAGTGGGTGTTAGGATGACATGATGCCATGTTTTGTGTCAGTGGGTGTATGAGTGGGTATTAGGATGACATGATGCCATGTTTTGGGTCAGTGGGTGTATGAGTGGGTGTTAGGATGACATGATGCCATGTTTTGGGCCAGTGGGTGTATGAGTGGGTGTTAGGATGACATGATGCCATATTTTGGGCCAGTGGTTTCTACACTGGCTTTCTCTTCAGTCATACACTTTATGGACAGCTTCATATATTTCCAGACAACATTTGGGGATGCGTACATGAGGTCAATCTTTAAATAATTAGTATATTTCACAAATTATCATGACAAACATGGTACAGTTATCATTTTATAAAATTGCTTTGTGTACTTATGGAAATTTGTCCCTAATAACCTGTGGCAAATTAAACAAGAGATTTTCTCACCTATATTATGTTCTGGCAATGCCTAAATACATGATTGCAGCACAACAAAACATATAGGTTGTTTCGTAATTATCCCCATCTAATAATGGTTGGCTAATACATATGCTATCTAGAATATTATGCAAGTGATATGTGTAAGATCGTTCCAGCAGTAACAGTACCAGCAGTAACAGTTCCAGCAGTAGCAGTACCAGCGGTAACAGTTCCAGCAGTAACAGTACCAGCAGTAACAGTACCAGCAGTAACAGTACCAGCGGTAACAGTTCCTGCAGTAACAGTACCAGCAGTAACAGTTCCAGCGGAAACAGTACCAGCGGTAACAGTTCCAGCTGTAACAGTACCAGCGGTAACAGTTCCAGCGGAAACAGTACCAGCAGTAACAGTTCCAGCGGTAACAGTTCCAGCGGTAACAGTACCAGCGGTAACAGTTCCAGCGGAAACAGTACCAGCGGTATCTGTACCAGCAGTAACAGTTCCACAGCAGAAACAGTTCCAACGGTAACAGTTCCAGCAGAAACAGTACCAGCGGGAACAGTTCCAGCGGAAACAGTACCAGCAGTCACAGTTCCACAGCAGTAAGAGTTCCAACGGTAACAGTCCCAGCAGTAACAGTCCCAGCGGTAACAGTACCAGCAGTAACAGTTCCACAGCAGTAACAGTTCCAACGGTAACAGTTCCAGCAGTAAGCAGTAACAGTTCCAGCGGTAACAGTTCCAGCAGTAACAGTTCCAGCAGTAACAGTTCCAGCGGTAACAGTACCAGCAGTAACAGTACCAGCGGAAACAGTACCAGCGGTAACAGTACAAGCAGTAACAGTTCCAGCGGAAACAGTACCAGCGGTAACAGTTCCAGCGGTAACAGTACCAGCAGTAACAGTACCAGCGGTAACAGTTCCAGCAGTAACAGTACCAGCGGTAACAGTTCCAGCAGTAACAGTTCCAGCGGAAACAGTACCAGCGGTAACAGTTCCAGCGGTAACAGTACCAGCAGTAACAGTACCAGCGGAAACAGTACCAGCGGTAACAGTACAAGCAGTAACAGTTCCAGCGGAAACAGTACCAGCGGTAACAGTTCCAGCGGTAACAGTACCAGCAGTAACAGTACCAGCGGTAACAGTTCCAGCAGTAACAGTACCAGCGGTAACAGTTCCAGCAGTAACAGTTCCAGCGGAAACAGTACCAGCGGGAACAGTTCCAGCAGTAACAGTACCAGCGGTAACAGTTCCAGCGGTACCAGTGGTAACAGTTCCAGCAGTAACAGTACCAGCGGTAACAGTTCCAGCAGTAACAGCTTATTTACCAATGTTATTTCACTGTTTTCAACACATCATTATGTTGGTACAATTCACCAACATGAAGTATTTTACTTGTTTGTTAATGTGGAACTGTTTCTGAAATTATAATGATGCCACAAGAAGGTGGCAGACATTATGAATTATCTGCCTATCACGTGTGTGTCCCCCGTTTTAGCATGAAATGATAAGCTTATCACTCGGGTAATTACTTGGCAAAACATGCGTCAGACAAATGATACAATATCAGCCCTCAGATTTGTCTGTCATAACCTCAAGGTAGGGGAAGACTCGATTAATCTGTTTTATATTTGACTGTCTTTGGGCCAAATTGTATCATTTGATTCTGACCCTTTATATTTAAAATATCTCCTCAGCTCAACAATGACTTCTATTGCCCTTAACTAAATGTTCAGTTCCATTCTTCAGTACAGCTGTGTACACTGCAACTCCACTAGATGTTCAGTTCCAGTCTTGAATACAGTTATGTAAGCTGTACCTCCACTAGATGTTCAGTTCCAGTCTTCGGTACAGTTATGTACACTGTAACTCCACAAGATGTTCAGTTCCAGTCTTCGGTACAGTTATGTACACTGTAACTCCACTAGATGTTCAGTTCCAGTCTTCGGTACAGTTATGTACACTGTAACTCCACTAGATGTTCAGTTCCAGTCTTCAGTACAGTTATGTACACTGTTACCCCTACTAGTCAAAACAAGTTACAGCTGCTTTATCCACTGAGGTGATCACTGATCTGGACTAGATCTCCAGATCTTCCTCTTCCTCTAGTAAGCGTCTTCTCTTGAACAACCTGTTTTGTATTCTCCATCGTCGGTACCCCACCAGCGCCGTAAGGCCGTATACAAACATACAGATATAGCCGATGACCTACAACATCAACATGTCATCATTTGCTAGTTACACAACTGAAACCCTTATGACTGGTTGTTTCATTGATGTTTTTAAATCAATATTGTTTAAAATGACAAAGTCCCTTTTTTGAATAGGTCTTTCTATACTGTTGAAAGAGTACCTTATAATCATGATGTCTTTAGTTTAAACATATTTTATTGTACAAAGATACAAATTGATTGGACAAGTTATTTCAATTTAATATAGTCCAACCCTCAATACATTACGTAAAAATGTAAATATATGTTTTTGGGGAACGGGAGAAGAATGGGTGGAGAAGGAAGCATGGTAGAGTAATTTTAAAATGAACAGAATCAATGTAAGAAATCATTGCAGGCAAAATAATGAAATGCAATTTCATAAACACATATAACAATGTACACACGTGAATAACAAGAGGCCTAGGGGGCCTGTATCTCTCACCTGGATGATAAAGCAACCATGGGAAATTATTCTTATTACAAAAAATCCCCCCAATGGTAATGAAGAAGAAGGATTTTAAAGATTCAAACCTCAAAATCCCCTTTTGGGCCCTTTAACTCTGCACCCAGAGAGGCCACACCCTCTGCTTATACAAAATTTAGTCCCCTTTGCCCAAGGATGCTCCAGGCCGAATTTTGATAAAATCCCTCCAATGGTACAGAAGAAGAAGGATTTTAAAGATTTAAACCTTAAATTTCCCTATCAGGCCACACAACTCTGCATCCAGAGGGGCCACACCCTTTGTTTATACAAAATTTAGTCCCCTTTGCCAAAGGATACTCCAGGCCAAATTTGGAAAAGAGGTCCATTGGACCTGTATCACTCACCTGGTTTTATATCTAAGTCATTACAACTGAATGCATTAGTACATCTTTATATGAAATTTCCTGAAATCCAGACAAGATCTATGTTCTAACCCAACTGGGACCACAATATCTGACTTTCAACTAATCAGGGGCCTCCATTGAGTTGCCATGTTAACAGATTTTGAAATAAGTAATATGTCATATTACAGGGTGTAATTAGACAATACTTTAATTCTAATTCAACTATCAGCTTTTATATACCTAAAACAAATTTTGAACAATTTATGAAAACTACATAGAATATGATAATCTAGCTGTACCATTTCTGAGGACCGCAGGGATCAAATCAACCTCATTCAATTAAGAAATGTTTGCAGGCAATTAAGGGCTATAAGCGTCTTAATTTTCCTCTTTGGGGCCCGGTCTTCCTAGCCCCAGGGGTTGAACCAGTCTCATTTATTTCGGAAATGATTGCCCTCCCCAAATGAAGTTTCAGAGCAAATTCGGTTGAAATCTCTTCTGGCGATTAGGAAGAGATGCGTTTTAAAGCAAATTTAGCTAAGTTCCCCTTCAGGACCCCGCCCCCCTGGACTCAGGGGTCGAATCAACCTCATTTATTTAAGAAATGACTGCCCTTCCCAAGTGATGCTTCAGACTTAATTTGGTTGAAATCCTCTCTTGCATTAAGCAGGAGATGCATTTTAAAGCGAATTTTAATAAGTTCCCCTTCAGGGCCTCTCCCCCCTGGCCTCAGATGGGGCCTCAGGTGTCAAACCAACCTCCTTTATTTAAGAAATGATTGCCCTTCCCTAGCGATGCTTCAGACTGAATTTGGTTGAAATCTTCTCTGGCGTTTAGGAGGAGATGCGTTTTAAAGCAAATTTAGCTAAGTTCCCCTTCAGGGCCCTGCCCCCCTGGCCTCAGGAGTCGAACCAACCTTATTTATTTAAGAAATGATTGCCCTTCCCTAGTGATGCTTCAGACTGAATTTGGTTGAAATCCTCTCTGGCGTTTAGGAGGAGATGCGTTTTAAAGCAAATTTAGCTAAGTATCCCTTCAGGGCGTCACCTCCCTGGCCTCCCCGGACCAACCTCATTTATCTAAGAAATGATTGCCTTTCCCTTGTGATACTTCAGACTGAATTTTGTTGAAATCCTCTCTGGCGTTTAGGAGGAGATGCGTTTAAAAGTAAATATAGCTAAGTTTTCCTTTAGGGCCACGGCCCCCTGGCCTCAGAGGTCAAACCAACCCCATTTGTTCAAGAACTGATTGCCCATCCCTACTGATGCTTCAGACTAAATTTGGTTGAAATCCTCTTTGGCGTTTAGGAGGAGATAGGTTTTAAAAAAAAAAATGACGACGGACGACGATGGACGACAGACTCTGCACCACCTTTTTCCCCTATTGTGCCCCGCCTTTCGGACCCCAGGGGGGCTGCACCCACTGTTTATACAAAAAAGTCCCCTTGGCCGAAGGATGCTCCAGACTAAATTAGGATAAAATCCCTAATCTCTATGGTAAAAATAGGATTTTAAAGGTTTTATCTCTATTTCACCTATTGGGCCCGGCTCCACTGCCCCCATGGGGGCCACACCCATCGTTTATACAAACATGAGTCCCCTTGTCCCAATGCTGCTCCAGACCAAATTGGGATAATCCCAATTGTAGGAGAAGGATTTTAAAGGTATTACTTCTATTTCCTCTATTCGGCCCCACCTCTCTGTGACCTTGAATATGGGCAAAGGTTATTCATTTGAACAAACTTTGTAGCCCTTTATCTTGTATGCTACTGGCCAAATATCATCACCCTGTGCATTTTGGTTATTCAGAAGAAATTGTTTTATGTTTTTCACATATTTGACCCCTGTGACCTTGAATATAGGTGAAGGTCATCCATTTGAACAAACTTGATAGCCTTTTACCCCAGCATGCTACTGGCCACATATCATCACCCTGTGCATTTTGGTCATTCAGAAGAAGTTGTTTAAAGTTTTTTAACATATTTGACCCCTCTGACCTTGAATATAATTAAAGGTCATTCATTTGAACAAACTTGGTAGCCCTTTATTCCAGCATGCTACTGGCCAAATATCATCACCCTGGGCTTTTTGGTTATTGAGAAGAAGTTGTTTAAGGTTTTTAATTGATGGACGACGGACGCTGCACCACGCCATAAGCTCACTTGGCCCTCCGGGCAAGGTGAGCTAATCATTGAAGGTCATTCACCCAAGCATGCTACTGGCCAAATATCATTTCCCTGGGCAGTTTGTTATCGAAAAGAAGATGTTTAAAGTTTTTAACATATTTGACCCCTGTGACCTTGAAAATGGGTGAAGGTCATTACTTTTAACAAACATTGTAGCCCTTCATCCCCGTTTGCTTCTGGCCAAATATCATCACCCTAGGCCTTTTGGTCAATAAGTTGTTCAAAGTAAAATATTGACGCCGGACAGACGGATGACAGACGCCGCACCACGACATAAGCCAGGTGAGCCAAAAATGTTCATCAATAAATAGATACAATATTTGACCTTGAAACTGAGCCAGTGACCTTGACCTTAAGTCAGTTGACTCCTTGTTAAATTCCAACCAACTTTGTTTCATAACGTCATAACAAAATGTTCATCAGTGAAAAGATACAAAATTTGACCTTGAACTTTGGTCAAATGACTCCTTGTGTCATTGCTTCAAAGTGTCATTACAAAATATTCATCAGGGAAAATATACAAAATTTGACCGTGACCTTTGACCCAGTGACAATGACCTTTGGTCAATTGACTCCTTGTTTAATTCTGACCAACATTGCTCCAAAGTGTCATAACAAAATGTTCCCCAGTGAAAAGATACTAAATTTGACCTTAACCTTTGACCCAGTGACCGTGACCTTAAGTCAGTTGACTCTTTGTTAAATTCCAATCAACTTTGCTTCATAAAGTCATAACAAAATGTTCATCAGGGAAAAAATACAAAATTTATCCTTGACCTTTGACCCAGTGACCTTGACCTTTGGTCAGTTGATACCTTGTTTGATTGTGACGAACGGACGGATGAATTAGTATTGGGCACCCGAATCTTCGATACGGGGCCCTTATAACATTGAAGTTATTCTGCGGACAAACTTCGGTATTAAAATTAAACAAAGGGCCATAACTCTGTTATAGTGACGCACGAGACCTAATTCCAGTGCACTGCACACCTTCTGTGAGTGATGCAGGTATACTTCAAGATTGATTAAGATATCTTTAATGGTTTAGAAGTTATGCCGTGGACAAACTTCGGTATTAAAAATAAACAAAGGGCCATAACTTTGTATTTAGTGGGGAATAAAACCTGACTTCAGTGTGAGAAATTCCGCCTTCCCAAGATACATAATTATGGCAAGTATGTTCAACGTAGGTGAAATAACATAGAACTTGCTCTGGACAAACTTCGGTAATAAAATTAAGCAAAGGGCCGTAACTCTGTATATAGTGGGGCACGATACCTAGTTCCAGTGCACTGTACACCTTCTGTGGGTGATGCAGGTACACTTCAAGTTTGATTAAGATATCTTTAACGGTTTGAAATTTATGGGCCGGACAAGAATTTACTGAAAATGTGCACTTTTTTTACCTTTGACCTTGAGGTGAAGGTCACAGTGACCTAATTCCAGTGCACTGCACACCTCCTGCGGGTGATGCATGCATACCTAAAGTTTCATCAAAATATCTTTAACGGTTTAAAAGTTATGGCCCGGACAATTCAGATTAGAAGAACAGGAAGAAGAAGAATAACCTGAAGTACTAATACAATATGTCTCCCTTCATTCGAAGGGGAGACATAATTACCCATTGTCAAATACGTAGCAGATTGAACAGATAAAATAGCGAGTCGGTACAATCAACGTACAATCCAGCAAAAGATATTGATCAATAATATTTTACACGTGAAAGAAGTCATAACCCAGGAGAATAAAGATAAAGTAAATGAACGGGTGAAGACGAGGACTAGGAATTACAAGAGGGATTGGGGCAGGTGGAGGGGATACGAATGTGGGAACAGTGCAGAAAAGTAAGAGGTATGGTCGAGTGATAGAGACCACAACAATAGTTAGTTAATACAATTATTAGTATAACATTTTTGCATTGTAGAGTGTGATTTGAACTGATGACCTACCACACAGAATATGAGTTTATTGATAGTTGAGCCAGGAACATCGCTGCCCATTTTCTGATAGAAGTCAAAGGCGCTCGCCACAAGTGACGATCCGACCAGATACAGGAAAGAAAATACTGAGTACACAACCATGTCCTGTTGAAGAATACAAGATTGTTTTTACATCATCAATAAATTTACAATACATGTCAATAAATGTAATAAAATAGGAAAACACATTCCAAACAAGAGTTCCTAGAAGGTTCTTGGCGCCCTGTATCTAGACATCATAAAGGATCTTTATCTTGTGCAATAACTTCAACCTCGTAGTATTATATACTATTTGCCACTATTCTCATATGGGTGAGGGCATTTTTAAGAAAGGGACCATTGGGAACTTGCATATCAAATTTGAGAAAGATCCCTCCAGTACTCTCCGTGAAATAGTGATTAACAAATTTTAAATGTCAAAGTGCAAGATAGCAGCCTGTCGGCCATTTTGTTTTACCAATCAGTCTCAAAAGCTGAAGTGCACAACTACAGACCAAAAGAAATTTACATATTAATTTTTAGAAAGATCCCTTCAGTACTTTCTTCGAAATAGCAATTACAAACCTTAACTGTCAAAAACCAAGATGGCCACCTGTCAGCCTTTTTGTTTAACCGATCAGACTAAAAAATAATATGCACAACTGAGAAAGATTCCTCCAGTTCTTCATGTGGAGTAGCAATAACAATCTTAAACTTTCAAAATTCAAAACATATGTATTGCTGTATTCAGGTGTATTGGTCTTTTAATCAGTCCACCAATCCAATAAAGGCAACAAGGGACCATCTTCTAGAAACCTTCAGGTGAAATTTGCAAATTAACCCTCCAGTACTTTCTAAGGAATAGCAGCTATAAACTTTAAATCTCAATAAGATGGCAATATGTCAGGTATGTTGGTTTTCTGACCAGTTCCAAAATTTGATATGCCAACAGGCACCTTCGTTTTAAATTTGAGAAAGATCTCTCAAGCAATTTCTGAGATATGGCGCTATATCAACAATCGTTAACTATCAAAAATTTAATATTGCCACCTGTCGGCTGTGTTGGTGTTTTTATCAAATTCAAAATTTTATATGCATAATTAGGATCATGGGGAACTTTCGAGTGAAATTTCTCTTTCCGAAAAATAACATTAACAAACTTTTAGTCTGAAAATTCAAGATTGCATGCTGCCTGTTGGCCATCTTGGTTGTCTGCTTGGACCCAAATTCAATTATGCATAAAGGTCCTTGAGGAACCTTCATCTGAAATTCATAAAGGATACATTTACTTATTTCTGAGCAATCACGTTAACATCACGTGCAGATTTATACAGTATCTTAGCCATTTCATCTACTTATTCCTCCTGTACTCACTTATTTGATAATTACATGCATTATTCCTGCAAACCGAAAGAGGCGACTAAGTGTGGACCCCCCTGCTGTGACTGTTAAATCCACTGCAGAATTGAGAGGCGACTAATGCGGGCATTTCATTGGAACTTGAGATTTTTCACATTTACCGGGCCAGATTCCCACGTGCACATGTTCCTCGTTTTTGATATCTCGTCCCTTCTTTCTGGTGCTTATCTCTCGTTGACTCACTTTATATGATAGTGCATCTTGCGCAAGAATAGGTCCTCTACACACATTTAGTAGTTAAAGAGTTTTCTAGAGGGATTCTTCTCCAATTTTGGTTATCATTTGGCAGGTCGTCATTGTGTTTCATTGGGCGAGTCGTAGTCAATAGCTATATTTTCAATTATAGTATATCAGTTCTATCTTCTTGTAATATGATGTATATGAACATGTAACTGTTCTGTTTCACTGTGTCTGGATAAAGGAGCGGATTGCTCCGAAAATTTGACAACCTAAACTGGTCCACACTGTTGGAATTACTTCTTTGCCCCATATATATATATATATATATATATGTAGAAAATATAAGATTAACGACCGACTAAAACTAGCAGCTTTCACCCTTCACAGGCTCTTCAAAACCTGAAGGAGCCCTGTGAAAGTTGAAAGCAACTAGTTTTTTAGTGGGTCGTTAATCTTATTTTTTCTATATTTACTTCCTTCACATGGACATTTAATCCTTTTTATTATATGTATAGGTATATGTTAATATTACAATAACAGGTATTAACTCCATTCCACCACTGTTACTGATATTTTGATGTAGATCATATTTTACAAAACACTGATGACTTTCCCATCAAAAAAGGCTTGATAAGAACAAAACTTCCTGTATACACCGAGAATGCAAACGGCTCAAATAGAGTGCTAGGTGGATAATAAGTGTACAAGTTAAAGGACTATGTATGGTTTGGGCCTTTTTTGGCCCCCAAATCCATCAAAATTATAAATCTGCAATAGAACTTTCAAATGACTGTTTCTTTAATTTTGAATACTTCCCCAGTACTATTATGTAAACGTTTATTTGTGTTTTCAATTTTGGCTGCCATTGTATCTAGGTCATATTTGCATAAATTATTGAAATTTGAATATTCAGTCAATTTTGACAGGTTTTCACCTAGTTTTTCTCTTAGCTGCCATAGAGCGTACTCTTGAACAAAATTGATATTTCTCCTCAAGATGTATTACAGGTGCCTACATATTATCCTTTGATATTAAGTTTGTTCGAGTATGCCCTCTATAGTTTCTAGGAGAAAAACTATGCAAAATATCACAACATTCACTGAATATTCAAATTTTTCTAATTTATGCAAATTTGAACTTGTTACCATTATGGCAACAATGATTAAAAATATAAATAAATATTTTCATAATAGTATTTGGGAAGTGTTCGAAATTAAAGAAACAGTTATTTCAAAGATCATTTAAAGGTTTTGAATTTTGATGCATTTGGGGGCCAAAACAGGCCCAAACCATACATAGTCCTTTCAATTTGTTATTTTTAATAGTTTTGAGATCATGCTTCAGAAACCTCAAATTTTGTATTTTTGCCTCTTTCCATGGCACCAGAAAAAGGAAAAATAAATATCCAAAATGAGAACTCCTCCAGTAGCAAAATGCACCAAGAGAGTGCTAGCTTTTATAAAGTGTACAAAGTTTCAGGCAGTTCTTGAACAATTTTGTTGCCATGCTCTGGAAACAGTGAAATTTGTAATTTGGCCTAACTAGAGTGATAGGATGATAAGTGGGCAAAGTTTCAGGTACATGTAGTTATCTTGAAAGGTTTTGACATTTTACTTCGGGAACAGCAGAAATTGTAGTTTTGCCTATCTGTTTCCATGGCAACCAAAACTTTCTAAAAAAATGAAAACTCATCCATAGCAAAAGGCACTACCAGAATGCTAGCTTGATAGTTATACAAAGTTCCAGGTAGTTATCTTGAACGGTTTTGGAGTCATGATCCATACAACTGAAATCTGTAATTTGGCCTATCTGTTTCCATGGTAACAGAAAAAGTATTTAAATGGGGAACCTCTCCATAGCAAAAGGCACTACTAGAGAACTAGCTTGATAACTGTACACAGTTTTGAGTAGTTAACTAGAAAGGTTTCAGAGCTCTGGTCCGGAAAAAAACAATGCACGGAGGCACAGACGGACGCACGGATGGACGGACGACGGACGCTGGGCCATGGCATAAGCTCATGATCACTTGCCCTTCGGGGTAGGTGAGCTAAGAAAGTGTACGTTAGCATTGTTTAACCAGCCCTTCGGGGTAGGTGAGCTAAGAAAGTGTACGTTAGCATTGTTTAACCACACTTTTTACATTGTTCTGTGATATGGTGCATTCCATCTAATATGAAATATTTAAACAAACTGTTTATGCTTCAAAAACCGGCAGCAAGAATTGTTCTTAATGTTATAGAAATTTTTACCCCAATCTCTGGACTTTCACAACTTTTAAGGTGGCTCCTGTTCAGAAATTTGATTATTTTAGGAAATCCTAATTTTTTTTGTGCAAGATTTTACATGACCAAGCTGTACCTGTTCTTAATCAATAGTTTAGCTATGTTAACCAGAACTACACATTCTAATTTAACAGCAAAATACTTTATGTGAAAAAATGTAGAACAGCTTATTATGAGAGATGAATAATTACTCTGTTAGTATTTTATGGAACAATTCAGAAAGCTCACTGCATTGTTTACCTAGTATAGAGTGTTTTAAGAAGGCATACCTGCAGAAGCTTTTATAGATGTGAGCATTTATGGACCACTTTCGAAATCTCTCTCCATATTTTTACCTAGTTTGTGTCTTTTAAGAAGGAATACATGCAGATAATATTTATACTGTATACATGTCATTGTATGTATTATGTCCATGTCCATTGTAAATTGTGTATTACAGGGCCATATTGTAAATAAGATATAAATGTAACGTACCAAGGTTTTAAGGCGTTTCGTTCCGTCTAATTACCCGACCGGGCATCCCTAAAATTATACCGGCCGCTACCGGAAAGGATCAAGAGGGCTTCTGGGATAGAGTACTTTGGCTCCCGGTATCAGACACGTAAGACGTGTTAAGTCTAGCTAAGTAATCCAATGATTTAATTATTCTCTGTCGCCCATCCTTCCAAAATTCGGGGTCGGGAACTTTTATTGAACATCCATTGTTAGGTTTTGAGTAGCATTTTTGCAGTATAGCGTTGATTTAATAGAGAAATTGCGAGGTTAACTTTGATGTATTTTTCGGGAGACATGCCAGTTTTCATACCGTTTGAAGGAGAGATGTTGTTGATAGGGTGTCTTCCCATTTATCCAACTTCTGAAAAAAGCTATTCCCATNTGATAGCACGTAAGGTAATGGCTAAACATTCTCTGCCCTATCTGTTTTGGGCATTTAGCGATGGTTTCTTTGAGCGGTAGGCTCCTTTAGCTCATGTGAAGGAATGTTGCAAAAATAGAAGGGTCAACGGGAAAGCTATTGAGCGGAAGTGATAGCCGTATGTTCTCGACCACATGTCATTGTTATCTCGTGGAGAGCTTTAGAATTAGTTGCAAAGTATCTCACTTGAATGTGGAGTGCATACCAACTTTAGACAGGGTCATTTTATTTTTCATTTCACCGAATTTTGGTGGAAATTTAGAAACCCACTTGCCGCCACGAGCCGTATTAAGTTTTAAGGTAGTCGTGCAATAAACGTGTAAAATCTATATCTGCCCAAGTTGTTTTTGTCACCAATCTCTGCTTCCTCTCTACTATTTCATACTTTATTTAAAATAATGGAACCTGCAAGCGAAAGCGGCAGTCGAACCTGAGTGAGTAGGTAACGTTCGTTACAATTGGTGGCCAGTATGGGGGGCAAGAGGAAAAAAAACTTGGTTTCGGCTTTATCTCTATGCAATAGGGCGGGTTAAATATATTGCAAAATGAAGAAATTTTCTGTTTCGGTAGATTTTCCTACACAAACGGTTTCACAAGGAGAGGTTTGGTGGCATTTAAAACTAGGTCTCCCAGGGGGGTCACGGGCAACAGAGGCCGCTAGTAGCTAGAGAGGGAAGCCATCTACAAATATTGTTAGTTTTTTGGGGCAATTAAGTTCACTCCTGCTAGGATTTGAGTTTCTTGATACTCCAGTCTGTTGGGCAAACTTAAATTATTTCATTTAAAATTGTTTTGTTCAGAGACACTTAATTTGGATTTATAGTTGAGACTACTGTGTCAGTTTCCCGTTGTATAGTCTAACCACGAGAAAAACTTGACAAGTCACAGAGGTTTAAACCACACCGTTACAGACATGGTCATTTACGTAACAAAAGCATTCACGTCTGTGTAGAAAAGTCGTCAGCACTGTAACGCAAGACTGGCTTGTGGGGCACGGCCCACTGATCATGAGTACAAACAGTGTAGCAGTCTACCGGTGGGTACAATGTAGCCCAGATGGAACGGTTGGGTAATCATGACCTCTTGTGCATTGAGTGGTTGGGAACTGACAATACTTAACATTTATTGGAAAAAATAAAATCTGGACATGTTTAGAACTTTACATGTGTATTACAAGAAAAAAAAAGTAGTATTGAAGTGGTTTATATTGAAAGAAATAGTTGAATGTAATTTCCTTTTATAATGCCTAAACAGTCTCGAGTTATTGAGATAACTTCTATAGCAGAGTGAATGTTATGTATCTTGTCTGAAATGTACAAATTTAATGTAGGATATTTACTAAAAAGGTCTACCTTTGTTTAACTCTCCATATGATCCTGCGTTGCTGGCACCCCAACCCGGGGGAGGGAGTCATTGAAGAGGCCCCAGGCCCCTGTGATGTAGCCCCCTGCCCGCGCCTGTGAACTAATACGGTGCCCATGGACTTTAGAGTTCGCCACGTGACGGTAATTAATGGCACCAAGTTATTTGGTAGTGCACGCTGTGATTCAGAGACCTTGGGGTAGCCTTCCTCGCCCCTAGGGTCGGCAGTGACCCCCAAATACTGGTGCGAGGACTCGTGATGCTTTACCGTGAACAAATCTCTATGGGATTCGTCAGAACGTGGTAGACATAAACTTTTGCAGTGCATTACCATAAAACCTATGTGTGAGCCGGGCAGGTGACCGTGACCTTGGGGCCCCCTCCCCCAAAGGAATGTGCCAGTGAAGAAGTGACATTTTGTGATTATGGACATATTTGTGTGTAATGAATGTTTTCAATGTTTTCATAGGTGTGATAGGATTTGGTATAGACATTTCTTGGGGGGGGCTGTAGGTTCAGATAGGAAATAAATTAGGTAGGGATTGAAATTATTGTTAATTTAATCCGATCAGAGAAATCTAGGGGGGGGGGGGGGCTATATATATATGTGCTAGGGAAGTTTTTTTAATATAGTTGTGGAGTCACCAGCTGGGGTCACCTTTGATAGCTAGCATCAACATTGAAGATTGAACTCAGTTCTGACTTCCACTGAAGAAAATTCATTGGGTGGGTTATTCGGCCATTTAGGTTTAGCCTTGCTATGATGAGTGCTCAATGTTATTGTGGCTCGAGTTGTTTTGACCAACATGGTGACAGAGCAATTGTCTTGGTTAGGATTAGTTTAGTTGGGGTGGGGATGACGTCATCTCTGGTCGGGCTGAATTGTTATATGTGGATTGTTATAAAATTAGAGGTCCTGTAGTATTGGTAGCTTACTATTTGGTTAGCCTTAATTATATGTATACTTTATACACAGGGGTGGCTTCCCCAAAAATTAATGCTTATGGGGGGATAAGTATACTGTCTGATGTTGGGACATGGTCGAGATTATTAAGTTTTGTAGCAATATGTGTTATGATCTTTTTAAGTTTATAGGCTTTGTTTTTTTTCTCAACTTTCTCTATGTAAGAAAAGTTGTGCAAAGCATGTGTTTTCACTGTAGGGGAGGTCTGTGATTGATTGAATTGTATAATGGGGGTATTCCCTATTACTAGTGCTAGTGAAGGTCAGCTCTTTTATTGCTAGGATAACAACATTGAACAATATCTTCAAAATATTCCTGATACTTTAGCAAGTTAAATTTTACTTTAATAGGGTGTCCTTGATTAGAAGGTATTTGACCTTGAAACTTACTACCAGGGTGAAATTTTAATCTGAGCTGCTGTGTTTGTGCTTTTGACTCTTCTCTTGGTGTTTCATTTCTGAGTAATATATTTGGATCAACAAGGCGTGGTTGCGGATGCATACGCACACCGGGTTTTGCTGCTCCAAATTGTTAATGTAAATGAAATGATCGAGAGGGAGGGAAACGTGTTTCCTGTCAAAAAGGCACTGATATAGTTGTTAGGGTTTGGGGAAATTATATAGTTGTGAGGGTTTAGGGAAATTATATAGTTGTTAGGGTTTAGGGAAATTATATAGTTGTTAGGGTTTAGGGAAATTTTAAGTTGTAAGGGTTTAGGGAAATTTTTAATTGTTAGGGTTTAGGGAAACTTTAAAATGTTAGGGTTTAGGGAAATTCTATAGTTGGTAGGGTTTAGGGAAATTTTAAATTGTTAGGGTCTAGGTATTTATTCACTATAACAAGTAGAAACTCACCATGACAAGTAGATACTCACGATGACCAGTAGATACTCACAATGACCAGTAGATACTCACAATGACCAGTAGAAACTCACAATGACCTGTAGATACTCACAATGACAAGTAGATACTCACTATGACAAGTAGATACTCACTATAACAAGTAGATACTCACAATGACAAGTAAATACTCACCATGACAAGTAGATACTCAATATAATAAGAATATACTCACTATAACAAGGAGATACTCACAATAACAAGTAGATACTCACAATGACAAATAGATACTCACTATAACAAGTATATACTCACTATAACAAGTAGATACTCAAAATGACAAGTAGATACTCACAATGACAAGGAGATACTCACCATGACAAGTATACACTTACTATGACAAGTAGATATTCACTATAACAAGTAGATTCTCACCATGACAAGTAGATACTCACAATGACAAGGAGATACTCACCATGACAAGTATACACTTACTATGACAAGTAGATATTCACTATAACAAGTAGGTACTCACCATGACAAGTAGATACTCACCATGACAAGCAGATACTCACCATGACAAGTAGACACTCACTTAGACAAGTAGGTACTCACCATAACAAGTAGATAATTACTATGACAAGTAGATATTCACTATAACAAGTAGATATTCACTATAACAAGTAGATACTCACCATGACAAGTAGATACTCACAATTACAAGTAGATACTCACAATGACAAGCAGATACTCACAATTACAAGTAGATACTCACCATAACAAGTAGATATTCACTATAACAAGTAGATACTCACCATGACAAGTAGATACTCACAATGACAAGTAGATACTCACTATGACAAGTAGATACTCACCATGACAAGTAGATACTCACCATGACAGGTAGATACTCACTATAATAAGTAGATATTCACTATGACAAGTAAATACCCACCATAACAAGTAGATATTCACTGTAACAAGTAGATACTCACTTTGACAAGTAGATACTCACTATAACAAGTATATACTCACTATAACAAGTAGATACTCACTATGACAAGTAAATACTCACCATAACAAGTAGATACTCACCATAACAAGTAGATATTCACTTTAACAAGTAGATACTCACTATGACAAGTAAATACCCACCATAACAAGTAGATACTCACCATAACAAGTAGATACTCACTATGACAAGTAAATACCCACCATAACAAGAAGATACTCACTATAACAAGTAGGTACTCACCATAACAAGTAGATATTCACTATAACAAGTAGATACTCACCATGACAAGTAGATACTCACAATGACAAGTAGATACTCACAATGACAAACAGATACTCACCATGACAAGTAGACACTCACTAAGACAAGTAAATACTCACCATAACAAGTAGATACTCACCATAACAAGTAGATATTCACTATAACAAGAAGATACTCACTATAACAAGTAGATATTCACAATGACAAGTAGATACTTAACATGACAAGTAGATATTATCAATGACAAGAAGGTACTCACTATAATAATAAGATACTCACCATGACAAGTAGATACTCACTATGACAAGTAGTTATTCACCATACCAAGTAGATACTCACTTTGACAAGTAGATACTCACAATAACAAGTAGATACTCACCATTACAAGTAGATACTCACCATGACAAGTAGATACTCACAATGACAAGTAGATACTCACAATGACAAGTAGATACTTACCATGACAAGTAGATACTCACTATGACAAGAAGATACTCACCATCACATGTAGATACCCACCATGACAAGTAAATACTCACTTTGACAAGTAAATACTTACTTTGACAAGTAAATACACACTATGACAAGTAGATACTCACAATCACAAGCAGATACTCACTATGAAGTACCAGCTGACAGGTAACATGTAGATTAGTCCTGTGCTGTGGATGAGCCAGATGAAAGTGCTGGTTGTGAGGGTGAGGGAAAGGACAAATAACATCACACGGAAGTGCCAACTAAGGGGCAGCTGTAGAAAGTCTCCATCGTCACACCCAAATGAAGACGTCAAGCTCACCATGGACATCAATGACAGAATCTGGTGTTGTATTCAACAGAATTAAAGTTACGAAGACATTAAGTGTTAACAGTAACAAGAGGCCCAGAGGGCCTGTATCGCTCACCTGGATACCTAAGCAATCATGGCAAACTATTCTCCAAATGAGATCAAGGGAATATGCAAGACCCCAAGGCCAATCCTTGTAGCATAGCTATATTAGATTTTTCATGCCCAGCAATTTTATGTATGGTTATGGGGTGGGGATCTCAACTGTTTCCAAGCTTTGACTCAGAATTTAGGTCCCTAGAGTTGTGTCCAGACCCCAGGATCGATTCTAATATCTTGACTGCATTTGTCTCTTTTTGCCAAGCATTTGTATATATAGTTTTGGGGTGGGGATCTCAACCGTTTCAAAGGTATGACCCAGGGGCCAAGTCTGCAAGGGTGGGGCAGACCCTGGGATCAATTCTAATATCATGACTGCATTCGTCTCTTTATGCCCAACAATTGTATATATAGTTTCGGGGTGGGGATATTAACCATTTCAAAGTTATGACCCAGGGGTTAAGTCTCCAAGGGTGGGGCAGTCCCCAAGGCCAACCTGGAAGCATATGT